TAAATGAAATATGCTTATCATTCATATAATTTAATACGGTATACCTAGAATAAAGTTATACTTTCTATCATATATTGGAAAACCGCATTCTCACTTGATGATTTTTTAACACAGCAAACTATTGTGTATTTGTTTTGTTTTAATTGATCATTGCAATGCTATTTGAGTGTTTTTTGGACATTTTTTTTGTATTGTTGATACACTTTTGGATCGTATACATTTCCGATTCCTTGCTATTCGTATAACTGCAGGATATTTGATAAATATAATAGCATTCGCAGTAACAGCCGGTTTAAATAATGGAACTGAGGGAAAAGGAAATTTGGCAGTTTTCTGTATTATTATTATATTATTTGTCTTAACTTTATTAGCAGTGTTACTATGTATTTTAATTTATAAGAAGACTAAATGCTTCTATCACGTTAAATCAGTTCAGGAAGACTATAAGGACTATTTCAACTTCAACCCTAACATAGAGAAAGTGAAAGAATTTATTACAGTTGAACTGATTAATTCATACAAGTATGTAGAAGTTATTTTTGATATTTTGCTATTTACTTATGGATTTATGCTGTCTGATGGGAGTCCTGATAAAGACACTGTGTGTCTCATTGCTGTGATAGCGTCGTCATTGGATTTATGTTTTAAGATAACAACAAGCACTTTCTCTGCTAGGAAATTATTTATTCTAACAGATAAAAAAAACCATGAACTGTATATAACATGTGGAAAATTCATAGTAAAGATGATGTGGAGGTCTCTTTTATTCATCATACGTCTAGATCTATTAAGAGAATACATCAAAAAGCAAAGTAAGAATTATTAAAAATTTTAGTCAAAATATATTCGAGACGAGTATCATATAGGGATAATTGGATAATAAATTTGATTTTTGTTTTTCGTCTTTTAAACTGGGAGTATGGAGTTTCACATTGTCTAGCAACGCAAACAAACACCTCGTGGGCTTAATTGAAAGTTTAATTTTTATACAGCGAAAGATGTTGAAAAGAAAGGTATGTTGAAAGACAAATAAACGAATTTATGAAGTTAACACAATAAGTGAAAGGTCTTTTTAAGCATAATAAACAAGTCTTGTCGTTATATGTATGTTTAAGTATTAAACATTAATACTTTTCACTGCTGCAAAACAATAAATATGAGAAGGAGGTGAACACATAAAAAAATAATAACATAAACACATAAACAAGTAGAAAAGACAAAAAAAAAACTGATTAAACAATTTCAGGATCAGGAACCTATTCAAAACAGAGGTTGGCCAGAGGTCGCCTTAAAGACAGATACATTCCTGTTCTATTAGCGTTATCCATTGTGCTGCATTTGCAGTTACACGTATAATAATAAGTCACACTCAGCGAGAAGAATAGAACATAATTGTTGTTATCTGTTACACAAATTTTCCATAGCGGTTATACAAGTAACAATCATGATATTTAAAGAGATGATGTTTAGCTTTACCGTCTTTAATCATTGATTGTGGTAAAAAAAAATTAAAAACGTACATGCTGTGTCTTTATTTCAATACTAGTAACTGATAAGCTATAAAGCACAAATGACTTCCAGACATTTGTAAAACCTATCTCCCATATTACAAGTCAACTCATCTAGAAAGCTGTAGGACAGTGATACTCAATTACCATTCAGTATGACCAATTATTAGACTATTGAAAAATTAGCCCTTTTCTCGATGAAATGTTACAAATTCTCAGGATATACTTAGGATTTCTTTATCCGTACATACGAGGCAGTAAAATGGTTCATAATATAGTTATACCAAGTCGCTACAGTTAAGTTTAGGTCATGAAGCACAAATGTCCAGTCAATTAGAATTTAAAACTTTTCACACGATTTTATGTCAATTCGTTCATCCAAAATAAAAATATGATGTTGCTTAATATTGTAAATAATTCAACAAATTACAATTAAAAGAGAGGCGAAAGATACCAAAGGAACATTCAAACTCATAAGTCGAAAATAAATTGACAACGTCATGGCTAAAAACAAAATGACTAATAGACAAACAACAGTACACAAAACACAACATAGAAAACTAAAGACTAAGCAACACGAACCCCGCTAAAAACTTGGGGTAATCTCAGGTGCTCTGGAATAATAAGCAGATCCTGCTTCACATGTACTACCCGTCATATTACTTCTATAAAACACGTTGATGACTAATATCAAGTGATAAGACATCATGCAAAAACGGAGGGTAAGCAGATTCTGCTACACTTAAACGTTTTTCTTCTTTAGCTGTGTACACAAAATGGCAGGAACACATTCATTTCCAAATTCGGAAATTTTAACAATGTTCAGTTTGGTAGAACGACATGCAGGTCATTTATGTAAACATGCATATTAAAAATGGAGAAAAAGAAAAATTATACTATGTAATATAAAAATAAGAAGATGTGGCAAAATTTCAAATGAGAAAACTCTCCACCAGAGACCAAATGACGTAGAATTTATCAGCTATACGTCACTGTACAACCTTCAGCAATGAACGAACCAATAATCCTTAGTACCATAAATAAGGCCCCGATGCAGCTGATTTGAAAATAAATGTATTAATTTAACAACAATACAAACAGATAATTGCTCTTTTGTTCAGAAAAATGTAATCTAAACTTACAATGTACAATACATTGCAGTATGTAACTAATTTTAGAAGTGTCTCAATGGAAGCTTGTTGAATTTTCTAATGCGTCCCTTAAGTTAAACAAATGATTGATAAATGTATCTTTAACTCAAAGAAATCTAAACTTGGAAGCTGTAGAAGTGTATTACAAAAGACATATAATTTATGCCTCAAATACGGTGCATTATTATCATGATTATAATGATACAGAGTTTTCCAGGCTTCATAATATGAAGTAAATAAGTTTGAAATTACCATGCAAACATATTTTACGACTTCTTTGAACGTTTATGATAATGTCTAGAATTGCTTCGATTTTTTTGGTATTATGGGCATTTGGACAGACTGTCTCAACCGTTTGTGATACGTTCCATAGTTTTAGCCAAAGGTTTTAAATAACATTTCACATTTAATGGCGAAAAACATCATGACTTATAGTTTAATATAAAAATGAACTTGCATTAAAATAAAATTTGACGTAACGTAGATATGGATAACAGCATTTTTTACAATGACGAAATGTTCTTACGAAGGACATCAACCTGCTATATCACCCTCTCCCCATGTGTTATTATGCTGAATGTTCTATCTTTGTTGTCTCTTACTGTTCAATTGGAAATACTTAACTGTGACGTCACGTACATAACAACGTAACATTTATTACAAAAACAATAGTAGTGAAGCAAAATTTATTTGTTTTTATTGTGATAGTCTTTGAAAAAGTTCTGAGGCCAAAGTATAGAACTTGTGCATTGTATTTTATTTGTCGATGCAAATTCAATTCATTGTCATCTAAAGTAATAACTTTTGATTGGATTACATGTGAGGGCGACATCAAAATATTGTCTCCAATGGATCCATGGGATAAATATAGATTATAACACGGCATTTTTCATATCAGACCCATAATCACCCCTAGGTCCGAGAGCCCACAGGCTCGAGGGGATGACTTTAACCATGAGCTAATAAAGGGTCTGATATGAAAAATGACATGGTATGTTCTTTTTATTATATACTTCAGCAGAAGACATACAGACAAAAACTATTTTTAAAACTTTGAAAAAATGAATTTGTTGTAATATTTGTTTTTCGTTTTTTAATAATATATTTTCCTGATTCCTAATATTTTTTTTATCCAACTTTGTTATGTTTAACACATAAAAACGTACTATTGAGGTGTATTTTCCGGAATTTGCCGAATGACGTCGAAATGTACAGAAAAGCATGCGATAATAACCGGAAGCAGTTGATTACAAAAGTCATATCAGATGGCTAAAGAAATTCGCCAAATTCAATGAATAAATATATATACAAATAAGTTTTATCATAGGGTACAATTATACCATTATTTTCTATAAGTATATGATAAAGTAAATTATCTCCCTCGTATCAGCCAATCAAAATCTTGCATTATAACGTGAAGTATAATAAATAATGATATATTAAATATAGCGTTTGTAAATTTGTAATGATAATCAAAGAATTAGTCAAGCTTTGCACATTTTAAATGTTGTACACCAAACGTAATGCTTTACCAAATTTAATTCACAAATAACGAATAGATGCCGAATTTTTCTCAACTTTTGTATTCCCCTCATCTTAGAAGTTAACAGACTATCTCAAATTATACTTTCTATATATGTTAGTACACATTTGGAAAGTTTCAGATGTTATCATGTGCTAATACTTTGTAGACATGATATATATTCATCAGTAGATTTATGTTTTTTTTGGGGGAATAATTACTACTTGATTAAACTTTATCTGTCAAGAGTTTGATGGTGTACTGTCTGTTAATTTTGGAGATAACATTATTCAATGGACAATTTCAAATGATAAACTTAGCTAATTTTTCAAAGTGCACATCACTTAATAAAGTTTGTTTTAATATTAAATATTACTAAGAGTATGTTTATTTGTAAAAATAATAACTATATTCTTTTTAAATTAATTGGTTCGCTCTTATCTTTGACGTCTTATTTATTGAGAGGTTTTCAATTGATTTAATGCAAGATTATTTTTTTTAATTAGCAGATTGGTTATCATCTTTTAAGCATTTGATTTAGATTTGTTTTTCAAAGAAATAATTAAAAAAGAAGTGCAAGGATAACAGATTTATAATTAAGTAAGTCCAATTAGCTTCCTGTTATTTTCAAGACTTATAAGGGACTCTAACATATTAAAATAAATAACATATTGCTATTTACATATTATTGTAACAGTGTTCTATTTCTGATTAAAATCTACTTTCGTTTTATTTAAGAACCATTCGTTTTTTCTGAAAGTGGTACAGTTTCCAAGGGCGAGAGTCAGATATTATTGTGTTATGGGTTGGACAAGGCAACAGACCTTACCTGGTGCAGACAAAATGAAAACAATTATTCTAAAATTGAGATTGACGGTACCAAATACAAACATGGTACAGATCCAGTCCATTATTTAGAAGTAAATGACTTTCAACTTAGCGATGAAGGAAAATACATTTGCAAGTTTAAACATGGTTTGTATATAAGATTTTATTTAGACATTGTTGAGTCATTGGGAGAATATATAATAAGTCATGGTATACGTGTAGCGGGTTATTATTAGTTACATAGTGTGCTAGTGACATAATACTATATATCTTGGTCAGTAAATTCCATATGGGGTGAGAGCGAAGCTCGAATCGCCATATGGAATTTACTGACCTCATATATATTATATTAGGTCACTAGCACACTATGTGACGAATTTATCTTACCAACTATCTTAACATGTGGTATTTATACTAGTGGCCTATCAAAGTGATTAAGTCTTCATTACCGTTAGTATTAACAACCTACATCCATTGGTCTATACAAAAACAAATGCCAACAATAACAACTTGTTAGCTTTAAATGTGTTTTATGAATTTATGTCAATCGTTCACCATCAATTCCATTGTCTGTTGAAACCTTTCAGATTTTCTCTGAGCACCGTATTGTTTTTATAAGGGGATGTAACACCACTACTAACCGTGTATTTAAATAAGCCCTGCCTACTGACCTAATATGGAATATACACGGTCTCCACGCGGTTGCATTTCACCAATCATATTCCTAGAAATGTATAGGAGGTAAGATAAACTACAATATCATTGGTTGCGTCGGTTTTTTGTTTGTTTGTATCAACAGTCTGAATGACTTATTGATTGATTTATGATTCAAACTCACAAACTCAGTAATGACACTCTATTGATACAATCATTCAACTAAATACAACAATCGGCCATCGAGGCTGACATTTATTCACCAACAGTCTGCATACTATATACATATGAGAAATAAAGGTATAGATTTCGATCTTCTATTAACGTATCAATGATCTAAATTGTAACATGCCAGATTAAGAAGTCTTCTATAAACTTGCATCGAAAATAAACCGTATTGGTAGTTCATAATATGGTGGTTTGGAGAAAATTTAAAATTTTCAAATTTAGATTGAGTAAATTAAGAATACATTGATACCAACAATTTATCATAAAATGAATGCTTATATCAATGTCGATTAGCAATACAATATCGGTTAAATTTTTGTTTTTTACGTATAAGCTGCTGATTATTTTCAAGAAATTATTTCCTCTTTTTTTTTCTTATAAAAGCAAACGTTCTTATAAAATTCTAATACACTTTTGCCCATCAGAAATGTCTCCATGGTATCATTACAGCATACAGGTTTTATGGGGATCTGAAGTTGTAACATACACACTCACATTTTTCAAACAAACAAGAAGGTTAATTTGAAGAATGGATTGCATTAAATTTGTACGGAATAATTCAAATACACATTATTCTAGTTTAATATTAACTGTTTTTCAAAATTGTAAGGAATATGTTAATCACGTTTGAATCTGAAATTTAAACAGTTTAATTAATCAAAGTACGTCGGCTGATATTGTCTAGTTAGACGGAAGCACTATTCCTGGGAAATCAATTACAATACATCACATAACTGAAATTGTAAAACTTGATGGTTTTCACGTTATAAAGGAATATTTTGTGAAAAAGTGTTGATTTACTGTAAAGGCTGGGATGATAATTCTGTAATTAAATTATTTCTTACGACATGAGTCGTATACAGACGAAAAAAAAACATTTGACAGAATAAATGATTCGTCTTTTGGCAAAAAAGATCATTATTTGTACGAATTAAACACTCACTGTAACTTTTAAAATATATTACAGATAAAATTATACATCTACTGTTGTATAATATAAAAAAAAATAACTATAAAATAACGGTTTGTAATATTTGATGCTTTCTCACTTTCAGGTAAAGACGGCCAATCAATGTGAGTAAAATTCGCAGGCATTGTATCAAAAAATACTGAAGCTTAAAGTCAATATTGTCTGTTTGAAATTTTTTTTTTTAGGTTTTGTCAGTTGCATTCAGTTAGATTTATATTGCAAAGTAAAACGTCAAAAGAGTATTTATTACTTATGCTTTGATAAAAGTGTTTAGGTCATTTATAAGCTGTTTCTGGATGATGATTTTATATGTTCACACATTGAGGGTTTTGAAATTTAGTTTCCAGTTTTTTATTACTGTATTTCTTTATCGTCTGTATCGACCAGTAACTTTACTAGTTGTCTAAGCTGTAAATTTTGTTTGATCAATAATTGTATATAGTTCAAATATTATACTTAACAAAACATCTTTCAAAATGTTTTACCACAATTATTTCTACTAACATAAATACTTTGATGAGGTATATTCGACCCTCGTTGTCAATCAGATGTGGATTTTAAAGTTCTATACATGTAGCTTACTCAAAATCCTAAAGATCTGAAAACGCTCCCTTTCTTCTTTCGGGATCATCTTATTTTATCAGATTATTACACTCCATCGAAAAGTTGAAGGCTGATATTTCATTGGCTATTAAGTACAACCGATAGGTAAATGATTAATTATAATACAAACTAAAGACAAATTCAACGAGTTGGTACTGCTGTGTGCCATATAAGAGAACGGCATACGTAGATACAAGTTTCATTGGGAGGGATAAATCGTAATTTGTACAAATTCACTTTGATTCAAACAAAAAGTATTCAAAGGGTTTGAATCGTCAAATCAATAACAAAAAACACAAAACACTAACAACAACAAAAAATGAAACTTCAACCGATTACGGATCTTATAGTACTTGCTTGATTTCTTGTTTCAGATCATCGTGTTGCCTTTCTTGTGAAGGTTGCCAAATTCCAATTAATGGATGTCAAGAAGGGTAAATTGTAATGTTGTTTTAGAAAATAAGAAGGGTCTTTTTCAAAGTTTTAACTTTTCGATTCAGTCGGAAACCAAGCCATGGAGAAGCCGTTATCTTTTTATAATCTAAAACCGACAAAAAAGTCAGATAGATAATCCAACCATTTTGAAACTGCGTTAGATTATGTGTTATTTTTATTTTTGTTTCCATAGATTACAATAAAAAATATGATTCAAATCAAAACAAATACTATACGTTGAAACAATTATGTGCAAATTAATAGTTTGATGCGAAATTGTATGATAGTTTTTACTTTTGTTTACACACATAAACTAAGCTATACATATTGTACAAAGGTTAAATAAAATCAAAGTTAAACATATTTCAATGCCTAGTTGATGTTGTGTCTCTTGTTGCTGTCATTCCTTCGGAAATCCTGTGTGCACTATAAATACTGAATGAAGAAATGTTATAAATTGCAGTTTGTTTGTCTCATACATCGATTTTAACCCTCTTGATTACCGCATGTACTCGAATTTAGTTTGTTTCGAAATGCAAAACTATTTGTACGTAACAGCATAAGGTTGAAGACTCAACAAAGGGACGTAACTCAGAACTGCTTCGTTAACATGTTGACAAATCTAAGGTGAACAGTTGAGTTTTGCAGCATATTCAAAGTCATTTAATGCTTCCTACAAGTTGAGAAAGAAACTCCAATATTTTTTTGCAAAAACAAATGGCGCGTCGAGTGATAAACTCTGGTTTGTAGGTTTCAAATCAAAATTCAGAAGTTCGATGTTAATAACTTTGCATTAGTACTTCGTTAAAATAATTGCAATTTTCATGTTAAACGTACCACATTTGTTTATCTAAGTTTATACGACTTTTTGAAAGAAACTCAACTTATCTATGTTATCTCAGTTGAACAAAAATATGCCGAAATAAGGTGGTCAAATGACATTCATTGTTGCTTTTAAAATGTGTTCCATCGGGGTCAATTAATTACAATATAAGATATCTAATATTAAAAATTTATAAAATCAAATGATTGTAGACACTTAAGTTTCAATCGTTTTTTTAAGCAACATTGATTTAAACAACCATCTGACAAACGAAACATGATTCCTTAACACAAGATATATTTCAATTTGTAGATTTTATAGTGTTACTGCATTACACCCTCTGTTCGATGTTGACCAGCTTTTGTGAATTTTCATTGCAAAAGGTTCGCACTTCCATTTTCCATAGAAGGAAGTGTGTTAAATTTCATCAAGATTACTTTGATTTCAAAACAGACTTTATTGAAATTATACTCACCATTTCGTTGCTAATAAATATTTACAATATGAAAAGATGTGGTATGAGTGCCAATGAGACAACTCTCCATCCAAGTCACAATTTGTAAAAGTAAACCATTGTAGGTCAGAGTACGGCCTGCAACACGGTACCTTGGCTCACTCCGAACAGCAAGCTATGATGAGCCCCATAAATTACTAGTATAAAACCATTCAAACAGGAATACCAAATTCCTATTTTAGTTTTATGATTAATTAAGTCATACAAAACTGACGTCTTCATTTTTTTTATTATACGCTGTTTTGCTGTTTAAAAAATAACCCAAATTTTATGTGTACATGTATAAAGTGGCAGTCTTTCCTATTTTGCATCAGAATTGTAAAATGAGATATGATTCATATTATCGTAAGCTTTTATATTTTATATTTGTTTCATTTTTTTTTTTTTTTTTGGCAAAGGCGTTTCTAGCTTTTCTACAACGTATGCGTTTGAATGTCCCCTTGGAATCTTCTGCCTCTTCTTTTGACAGGTATCAATGTAAAGAAATACTATTTCGTCAGTCCCATTTTGTTTATAAATACAATCTTGAAGATATTAATTAAAATAGGAGTTTATTTGGCTGCCTACACTTACATTAAGTTGTGAGTTCGAGCAATTTTTCTTGCAGTGTGTACGACTTGAACGTAGTTACCAGGGAGCAAGTTTCCTTTACTTCGCATTTTACGGTCTTGGGAGAGCCGTAGTGTAATGGTTAAGGCATCGGACTACTAACACAAAGGTTCCTGGTTCAATCCCCGTTCCGGGAAGAAAATTTCAGGGACTGAATTTTCGACTCTCCCTTGACACAATTTGCGAGTATGGTCTTGAGAAACGATGATAGTCCGTCGGAAGGGGACGATAAATGGCTGACACGTGTTAAGAGAGAGCCATATCTCTTGCGCGTAAAAGACATCCTTGTAGATTTCGAAAAAGAGTAGGCCAATGCCGCTACAATGCAGCACTCGCACCCGCAAAGTGGAAAGGGATTAATATAAGTTGCAATAACTTGTTTCCCCATCCTATAGTGTATATATAGTAATAAATATGTTTAAACTAAACCACTAATGAATTTCTAGTAGTCTATTATTAAAATTTAGAATATAACTTCTTTTAAAAGAAATTGTGTGATTATTTTTCAAAATTTCGATTTTACGGTCCTTTTTTTAGTTTATATTGTTGCTCTCAGTAACATAAATCCTTGAATAAAATTTAGATTTATAGAAAGCACACTACCTTTCTTATCAAGTATCCACCCGTAATAAAGTATGGTGGTTTATTTAATATATCGCCTTCTCTTCTATTAACAACGAACACACTTTTTCAGAAGTTAGAATACCTATTTTATTTACCATCGACCCTGAATAAGGTTTGAAGTATTTAACATATCGCATTCTCTTCTTATTTACAACAATGAAATATAAAAATAGAAATGCCTATGACACAAAATGTATGATTAAGTAAATAAATTATAACTTTATTGGCATACAATTCTCCAAAATGAATATTCAAAACAAGAGATTGAAAAACAAAACAGCATACCATTGACCTGATCGTGTTATCTATTAAAGGAAATCTAGTCTATGGTAAACAACGTTATAAGCACAGAAGGAATTTCATTAAAACAATATTTAAAATAATTGTTACATTCTATGGTACCAATACTTGGTCAGATTATCATAAATGATGATATATACAACAATTATCGTATCTAATTCAAACATAATATAGATCCTTAAATGAAGAAACGTTTGTTGATTCGATGATCTACAATGAGTAATGGATCATACAATGTACATAGAGCATGCCTAGTGTTAAGCCATTTGTAGATGACTTGAAACCCTTATAATTGCATTGTAACAATGTTAAGGAGATTACAACTACATGCATTAAAACTGTAGACCTTCATCCAACATTTGTCAAAAGTATATGATGCTTTATTTACCTTAGAACAGATAGAACAAAGAAGAATATATCAAAAATACCGAACCAAGGTAGATTTCAAAAGCATTGAGTCCATAAAAACTGACAAAATCAGATGTTTTCAACCAACAAAATAAATGAAAAGTAACTGTCATGTTCCTGAGCTTGTAAATAATATGTGTATATGAAGGTTTCTCTTGTAAGATAGTAGCTTAAAAGTTGATAGTCAATTAAACTTTTTAATATTGTCTATTAGGGAGACGAGTCTTTTGCAATTTGAGGTCAAAGATCGAAGGTATGTTAATATCATAATTTAGAAGTATCTACCTCTTATATTTAAAATTGAAAAATATGATATTTGATAGATGAAATGTTTCGAATGAATGAAGGGGAAATATAATGTTTATGCCAATGTGATAACAAACCAATGACACCAAAGCCACATAGAAGTATAGATTCTATCACTGCATCAAATGTGATACGATATTAATCCATTCGAGACAGTTATTTTTTTAAATTTAAAACGCGAGGCAGATTTATCCAATCGGATCTCCAGCAGTGATGGTGATACAAGGCTAGAAATACATTCTGTATACATAATTCGTCCTAACATCAGCGCAAATTTACTGATCTCACATTGTAGGGCTGATGTTTAGACGAATTATATATACAGAATGTATTTTCAGCCTTCGTCCGGCCACCGAAATCTTTGTTGTTGTAGAGCCTAGGAGGTCGAGTGGTCTAGCACGTCGGGTATAGTGAAAGGCGATTTGGTGCCACGATATCTCAGTAGCATGAGTTCGATTCCAGCCGGGAGAAGAACAAAAATTTGTTTTCGCATTGTTAACATTGTTGGGCTGATGTTAAGACGAATTAAATATACAGATGGTATTTTCAGCCTTGTATCACCATCACTGCTGGTGATCCGATGAATACAATCTGTCGCAGAGTTGTCACTGGTTAAGACGTACTTATAATATAATCATTTCTGTGAAAGCATCCTGCATTAATTTGTAAGATCCTTTACGATAGATAATTAAGCTGATCTGTAAAAATTTCATCTTCATGCTTTACATATCATATACTCTGTTACGACGCTAGATAAAAGCTGACGAGGAAAGGTAACACCCGGCCATTAAAAACTTTATTATTGTAGAGCCTAGGTGGTCGAGTGGTCTAGCGCGTCGGGCAGAGTGCAAGGGGATTTGGTGCCACGATATCTCAGTAGCATGCATGAGTTCGAATCCCGGCGAGGGCAGAACGAAAAAATTTCTTTCCCTAATTTACTGATCTGACATTGTTTGACTTATGTTTCGACGAATATATATATATATATATTGATTTCTGTTTGGTAATAACTTAAAAATATGAACCATTTTGTTACATCCGGTGATCTGTTGGTTTGGAAATCGCCAAGAACATCAGTTATTCGACCTGCTAGTCAAACATTGTCAAATGCGTTTTGTTAAAATATATTTTTTCACTTTTTTGGTCTTCTGGAAAATGTTGTTTGTGCTATATTTAGACCCCTCTACCAAGAAATTTGTTTTGCATGCACACATATAACAATTGTGGTTTTTTATCCAATGCAATCAATGGTTTGAACGTTGTTTTCAATTTAGACATGTTTAAATTTTTTTTGTTTGGGCTTATATTATATTTGCCTTCGGGTTTATATGATCCGTTCATCCTATTTCGACTATTTTAAAATTTAAAAGTCTATCCTAAATTGAGGCAAATTATATGGCCTTCCAAATACCGTTTCGATTCCTATAAATAACAAAAATAAAGTCTTGATGCTGTAGATGATACACAAAATTACATTATCTACAGTCTATTTTCCAGATTACCACCATTAGAGGCATTACCAAAGTCTCCGGAAAGAAGAGATGAAATAAAAAAGAAAAAGAAATAGAAAAAGAAAGAGAAAGAAAAAGAAAAAGAAAAAAATGCAGAAGGTGAAAGAAATGAACCCTGACACAAGTCATGTATAAATCGAAAATATAGTGGTATTTGTTAATTTTGCATAATTATTCATCTGTACATATTCCAAATGATCAAAGTATTCAAGCAATCGAAAATAAAGTGGTATTTGTTAATTTTGCATAATTATTCGTCTGTTCATACTCCAATTATCATAGTATTCAATCAACTATTTACGAAATTCTATAATGAAATATGCATGGACACTTATCACTCGTGTTCTTGGACTTCGTATGATTTCATACTTACAAATCTTTATCACATGACTAGAACAAAAAAACGTTATTATACGAGACCCTCTGTCTGCTGTATGTTATTTAAAATTAATATGTCACGGCCATGCATCTTCAAACTATACGTACTAACTTAACATGGTTATGCTTTTTACAAACAAAAATACTCCAACAAAGGTATGAGGAAGAACGTCCTTTTTTTCCCTTACATATGTTTTACAGTAATTATCACGAATTCGTTGACCGATATGATGTGACCTTGTTTTACCTCACTAATGATATGTTTCATAGCCTTAGTTACCAGCAATTCCATTTGATCTGTGATCTTACCGACTGTGTCCTATTTCCGATAGTTTTACTTTTTTAGGATTTGTTTGACGAATCTTACATACAAAGCAGGAGACGACTGATACCAATCAACAGCAACTGCTGACATACAATTTATGGAAACGTATTCTCTTAAAATGCTTCCGTTACAATATTCTATCTATACATGCTCATAAAAAGTGTTTTCATCTTGCCAAGCTTCTTCAATCTACACAAATACATGTTATGAATTTATTTTTCGTATTGTTTTCATGTTGTGTATTATTTTTTTTTTTTAACTCCGGCGTTATTTTGTAAATTGCAGATTATAACGTTCGACATTTGAAAAAAGGTAAATAAGAAACACATCAAAGAAAATTCTAAACGGAAAGTCCCCACGGAAATGGTAAAATCAAAAGCTAAAACACATCGAACGAATGGATAACAACTGTCATATTCCTGACTTGGTGAAGGCATTTTCTTATGTAGAAAATGGTGGATTTAACATAGTTTTATAGGTAGCTAAACCGCTCACTTTTATGACAGTCGCATACTGTTCCATTGTATTGACAACGATATGTGAACAAAACATAATAGGTAAAAATGTCAAAAATAGGGGTACATCATTCTTTTATAATCCCAGCCGCTATAAAAACAAACAAAAATGTCACAAAAGAAAAAAAAAAGGCATAAAAAAAAAGCACATTACCAAAATCGAAAGACAAGAATACATAATTTCACCACAGCACAATAACACAATAGACAAAACGGTAAAAGTAATAGTTTACAAAGACAAATAAAAAAATACTATTACACGTGATAAAGATGATAAACAACACCAGTACCTATGGAATCTATATTTCAAGACCATCGTGTATTATTTGCTAACTTGTTGCGGAATATTTATCAATAAGGTCTTGGTATCTTCCGGTGAACCTTTTAGGAAAAAGGACCAGATGTTTTTTGACATATCCCCGGTTCGTCAACTTTCTGCTCAGAACATTCAAAGTCAAGGCATTTAATGAACATCAAATGAAACTACAATTAAGCAGAAGGTTTTCTCGTTTGAATTGTTTTACATTTGTCATTTCTTTTATAGCTTACTATGCGGTGTGGGCTTTGATCATGGATGAAGGCTGTATAGCTGTTAATTTCTATGTCATTGTGTCTCTTGTGAAGAGTTCTCTCATTGGCTATCATACCACATCTTTTTATATATAAGACCTGAGTAGTATAATCATACACCAACATATGTAATGACAAAATATTCATTGTTTAAATTGTACGAATATAGAAAAGTGATTACGATTGCCGCTGTCGCATTCTATCAAAACAATATTATCAGGCCTGATCACTTCAAAATCAACTGTTCTTTAGGAACAAGATACAATTAATATGTCATGTAGCGACCGGATATATTCAATCAGATGATTTTTCTTGTTTTTACTCGTCACAATAGCATGAATTGTTTTCAATCAGACTACGAATTGATGAATGCAAAAGATTTATTTTTGTTTTGTTTCAATGGCCATGATTGTTTTCTATCATTATCGTAGGATATCAGTTGATCAATTAAAACGATTGGTTTTCTTGTTTTCAATAATCACTCTCATATAGGTCTTATCCAATCGTTGAAATAGAATGGTATTTCATAATTTTAATCAAATAGTGCTCTTTGTGGTCAAAAGTCGCGAAGACGTATTGAACCAAGTGTTCCAAAGAGGTAAAGTTGAAGTCATTCTTTCGAAGGTTTTACAGACCGCTTCACGACCTTGTTGATATTTTAGGAATACCTGTGTCAAAGATGACCACAATGATATTCCAATTGTCGTAATCACATGAAAGAAATAATCATAAAGTTTACATAGGAAAGAAGTGTTTGTATTTTATAAGAATGCTATGTTTTAAAAAAAAAAGACATTTATTGTTTGTTCTTACGTAGTGTCTGATACACCACTATTCCTTGTTAGGGTGGTGGTTGTGCGCTCACAAACATTTTTAACCCTGCAATATTCTTTATGTGCTTTTCCTAGGTGAGGATCCTATAATTCAATGGTTGTCGTTGATTAATGTCTAACTGTTTTTCGTAAATCGTGCTATTATTAATTAGGCTGTTTGTTGCATTGTTTCATGTTTTATCCTTACTGGTCCTTTTGAAGGCGAATTTGCGTTGAGGGTTTTCTCATTATTGAACGCAGTACGGTTACATATAATTGCTTACGTCCCCTTTATTTGTACATTGGTAGATATTTGTTCCATGTCAGCTCTTTTATTTACTGTTTACGTGTTAGATTAGTTTTGAATTATGCACAATTCGAAAACAAATAGAGTTATATTGATAAGCTTATATACTCTGTTCAATCATTTCAAACTTTTCTTTAACATTAAGTTGGTAATATTTGGTAGGATATAATTATATTTGTTTGTTTGTTTGTCTTTTTTTTATTTTAACGCCTTTTTTATCTGCTTTATCATGTTATATTATCTTGACAATTTGTCATAAGGGAAGCGGGATCGATCGAAAATACTTAACGACGTTTAGCTGTAAAGAAGGCAAATCTTAAAAAGTAATCTCAGAGTCAATCATTACTCGATATGAACTTTTTTCGTAACTACAGAAATATAATACGTCGACATCACGCAAAAGACACTGAACATACTGAATTACTTGCAAGCAAATTATCTGCACAGGACTAAATTTACCGCACTGGATAAGTAAAATAAATGACAGAAATACTGAACATGACTAAATAATTTATTTGTTCAGAATTTTCAGACGATATTAATATCAAAATAATAGTTAAAGAACAAAATTGGTTTACTTGTATTACAAAACTGGAAAACTGCGCCGACGAAAAAAGTGAAATAACAACTTCAATAATTTAAACAACTGAACAAAAAATACAAAATTCAAAAGCAAATATAACAATGATATATAAAATATACTGCTTTCTGCTTTATTCAGATGAAACCAACGACGAGCATAAAGAATCCAGGTATGTATAATCTAAATGTCAAGTCAATATGGATTTTTCAAATAGCTTTTCAGCTATTATGCTGTTCATTCTGATGACATGTCGTCTTGAAGAGATGGTAATGCTTATTGATATTCGGTTTTTGAAATACACATGGTAATCCATCCAGTTTTAAAGACACTTATCATTTACGTAGGAATCTGTCTATAATTTTATAGCGGAAATACACGAAGTGTTTACAAAAACTAAGAACAGTTTAGAATCCATGTTCATCTGCCGCATGCAATTTGATTCACACTTCGTTAATGAGGTAAGTCGTATTTGTGATCGTATAAATGAATGAATTTTAAACTTTTTTTCTCTCTATATTTTCTAACTATATTGTCAAAAAACTTTTCTCTTTTTTCCAAATAAAACGTTCATCTTGAAGTAACAGACCATTACAGATAAATCTTCAAGATGGTCCTGCGTTATGAATTAAGGTCTTGACGCTTTGTATCAATTATTTTTATATGTCTTCCGTCGTATGACTCTAGACTTGACTTTGTATGTATGCATCCAGCTGTCGCGTATTAGATTTGTTATATTACACTTTGTTGACTTTTTCGATGTCTATTTGATTTATATCCATAACAACATCTTTGATGTATGCTTTTTATTGCTGTCTTGGTTAATATAATTCAAAATTGAGATTTACCTTAAGAAATGCGTTATTTTTTAGTTCTCCAAAATTGACAGAAGATTTGACAAATGAAGAAGAGATGACTGTTACAGTTGTAAGGTACTTATGTTAATACTGTTATTAGACGATCGAATGTGGTTTAAAGATGGCTTCTAGTGTTGCCTTGTCACGTAAGGCGAATCTAGAGATAGACATTAGACATACGTTTCCAAATGTGTGCATATGTTATATTATTTTTTTTATAATTAGGCGGTGTGGTAGAGGTGGTGGTGGTGGTGGTGGTATAAGATTCATTCCTGCAAAAGAATGTATTGCCAAACAATAGAGAGAAACAATTATTCGCAATTGTCCGTAAAACAATCGTTGACAAAATAGGCTGCTTTCCACGATAACAATGTTTGAAAATCATAATAGCATCCTCCTTTCACCTTAGTTGGTACAATAAATTACTGACAAAGTGACTTGTATTTTTCAAACACCGTAACAATTCATTAATGTCTATCTTTATGCATTTATAGTTATATCTTTTTTGATGTATCTGGATAATGATGTATTAAGTTTATATTTAAATTTATATTGAGTCTCATTTCACATTAGAAATCAGCGTAGGGCGTATTTAAACGTAACAAAAAAGAATTCTGGTATCTAACTTTGTGTGGTCGGTAAATCTTTGCAGACAATGATATTTGCTAGTGGTCTATGAGTCAGATTATGCATATTTCAAGGTTTGTCTTGTCGTATAACACACCTCGGGTGTCAGGATTAAAGAACAAAAGACATCCTTGATCAATACTGACACGCCGAAGTGTGTTATACGACAATAATTTAATTTTGGATGTAACGCGTCTTCTGATTGGCTGACGTTGTTTTGTTTATCAGCTCATAGACATAATTTTGTCATGTGACCGTGACGTCATCAACGTTTTTCATGGTTTACTCCGGTTTAAAATGGAATTTAGAATTAAATTATAAGAAATGACTGTAATATTTTTTCTGTCTATTCGAAATAACATAAAAAATGTGGTGCACACTTTAAAATAACTCGCTACGCGGGTTATTCAGTGTGCACCACATATTTGATGTTATTTCTTCATAGACAGAAAAAATATTACAGTCATTCCTTAAATAAAACATTTAAAATTTGTATTATATGTAACATATTTGATTTTCTAGAAGTATTTATTTGAATGAAAAGTTATTTTGTTCGATGTACATTTTGTTGACGTTTCCGATTTCTATTTGTTTTATATCCATAAAACCGTCTTTGATGTATGATTTTTATAGCTGTATTAATCATGTTAATTGATATCATTTAAACTTATGATTAACATAAAGAAATGCGATATTTTTCAGTTCTCTAAAGTTGACAGTGGGTTTGAAAAATAAAGAAGATGATTTTACAGTTGTAAGGTACTTATGTTGACAACACAGTTATTAGACGATCGAATGTGTTTTAAAGACGGCTTCTATTTATCAAAAACATATCTTGTTAGGTCTTTATAATCTACTTGTCTCACTGTAACATTACCTAGATTGCAATTTAAATCTCAATTAGATTCACTTCATTTATGAGGTAAATCTTATTTGTTATCGTATACATGAATGAATTTTAAACTGATTTTTTTTTCATTTATACCCCCGCTTTAAAGACGTATGGTATACTGTTTTACCTCTGTATGTCCGTCAGTTTTTCATTCCTGCACTCCATCAGTCCGTCAGTAAGTCCTTCCGTCCCATGATGATTTTTCGTCGCATCTGTCTCAGGAAATAATGTGCAGGGATTTCTGAAATTTGGTTTCAGGGTTTGTATGAGTCATCTATACCGTGTGATGCGTTTTCATATTCATCATTCAACAATTTCCTGTTTGACGAACACTTGTAATATTTTACACATGATAGCCAAGTTGAAATGTTCGTCGAATCTTTCTCAAGAACTACATTACAAGGACTTCCGAAATTAGGTTACAGGGTTTATATGAGTCAGCTTTACCGTTTGGTGCGTTTTCAGATTCATCATTCAACAATTTCCTGTTTGCCGAACACTTGTATCATTTTACACATGATAGCCAAGTTGAAAATTATCGTCGCATCGTTCTCAAGAACTACATTGCAAGGATTTCTGAAAATTTGTTTCAGGGTTTTATATTGAGTGATGTTATTTTATGCATTTAATGTTTATGTGTTCTCAATAAAATGGTCACTTCTCTGGTTATGTCAGATTTTTTTGTGTTAGCTCTTTATAAACAGATTGGATAGAAAAAATATAAAATCTTTTTTTTTCGGTTTTCCAATTCCCTTCAAATGGTAATGCATGTATGCATTATATATGTATGAAGCATTGACTGTCCCTCTAGTATCTTTCGCCCCTCTTTCCGATGAATATTCCATTTGATAAATACTTTGTTGTTTGAATCGACATTTTTGTTGACATAATTTGTAGATTTCTTATAAACGCTTAAAAAAAATACTAAACTTCGAATTATCATGGTTTAGTGAAAAAGTTCAATTAACATTTGAAATTAGAAATTGTTGTTTTTTATGACCGCAAAATATTCTAATACAAATACATCGGATTCATTTCTGAATAAAAAAAATGATTCTTAGCGTCTTGAAATTACTATTTTGTTACAAACGTTTACATAAAAACCAATGAACTGAGTTTTTCGCAAGGCGCGTTCGATGCATACAAATTTACAAGTACAAAAAGGACAAAATACATGAATGCACCTTTAGTAAGGGTATATGTAAAATTTTGTAATTCAAAAGTTATAGCTCAAAGAAAACATCTGTTTGAATAGTATTTTTGAGAGTGATATGAGAAATACTAATTACACTCGAACGTACAGTCTTTAGTGAGACTATCAGATTAATTGCTAACGGACATGATTGATTAGTTGTTGGTATCGAACGCAACTTTTAGCAATATTGACTCAATCATGGTGATTCCTTTTCATTTATGAGGAATCTAAAAAGCATGAAGAGAACCACCAACATTTGGCATGAACACTTTCACCTACTTTGGAATGTTTCGACCTGACAACCTCATTTTAAACAGAATTGGGATTGTTGTAGACGAACAGCGCAAACCATTCGTCGACCAATGTACAAGAAGCAATAAGATGAAACAATAAATTTCCAATACTAAAGTTAAATAAATGAATCGAATTAACTTAGATGAAGTACTTGGACTATAAATCAGAATTTTAATCAATATTCAATGAAATGCATTTGTGTTTACAAAAGACAAGTTCAAATATGAATTCATGAACCTGCTTCATGGTTAGTTTCTTAATTTCATCGCAAAAATCAAATCATTTCATAAAAGTGTTATAACGGACTGTTTCTGTATAGGACATTTTATAGATTTGCGATCACCTGTATTGGTCCATGTCGATGACATTAAAATCGAGATACAGCGAATTTAAACTACAAGGGAATATATATGGTTTATTTCTTTTAACATAACTGCTTGAAAAACTAATGTAAGTTTGGACACTTATATTCCGATTCAAATGAAATATCTAGCATTAAGCGGATAGCTCATATTGTCAAAAACTGTGACGTGAACGAATAAAATCATAAGTTAATCATGCTAATCAATGTAAATGTAAATACCAAGATTGAAAGTAAAGTATAGTGTGCCAAGAAGACATGTCCAAACAAACCTTATATTAAATATAACTTAATAAAAATAATTATCTATCTTTTCATGAACAAATAAATCATTTCAAAATAATTAATACGGTTTTTACTAGTTCAACATTAACAAATAGTACAATGTAGTAGTACATTGCAAATGTAAGACCATAGTGGTCTACTTTTTTTATGTTACTAGCTGCTAACCATCTATTAAAAGTTTTCAACAAACAAAAAATTCTGCAATTAAAAATGGTCTTCAGAAATATTGAGATGTGGTAAATATGACTAGTGGTTTCACTCATATGTGGATTCTTAAAATTTTAAGATTTACTAGTATTGAAAAATCTTCTATAATATTTTTTTACTTTTTTGCTTTAACATCAATATATTTATTGTTTTACATTGTACATTCAGCATACAGTCTGTCTTCTCATTGGTATAATGTTTAAACCACTACTGGCTGACTTTTTTGTCAAATTAGTAGCAGAATTCATACAGAGCCCAGTAAAAGCCAAAAATTAAAAGACATTATGCAAACTTGTTTAATCACTTGTAGATATATTGGTCACTCAATAATAGGTGTGTGGTCTTAACAAAAATACTGCTCCAACAGCGTTATGAGGAAGAACGATTGAAATAAGTTTAACGGTCTCCAACACAAACTGGTTAGCTTTAAACGTGTTGTTTTCAATTTTTTAGTGTTTGGAATGGCTAAACATTTTCATTTCTGTTCTGGTACTATGAACAACAAAAATATTTGTTTTGTAACAAATATTTCCGTATTTCATTGCTGTATACTTAACAACAAAATTATATTCATTTACCTGGGTATGACTATTTTATTTGGCTGCATTGTATCCAAGGTGATGGTTGTCTATCTGATATTGTTAAATATCTCACCTTTATTTTATTGATTTTGTATTTACATTGTGTCATAGATCAATTTTATTCGTTTAGTGTATGTTTACTTGTTTGTGTTATTAAGTCTTTTGATTGAGTTAAGCCATTTCACTTGATATTTAATAGTGTGTCTTTCTATGTTGGGATGTTACACTATTGTTTCAGGTAAAGGTGGTGGTTAGTACCTATTAAAACGTTAAAACTCGCTGCATTTCTTTGCTCCTGTCCTATGTCAGTGGTCGTCGTTTGTTGATGTGATTCATAAGTGTTTTTTTTTTTATATAGATTAGATCATTGATTTTCCTGTTTGAATGGTTCAAGACTAGTCAATTTGGGGGTTCTTTATAACTTGCTGTTCGGTGTGAGCCAAGGCTCAGTGTTGAAGACTGTACTTTGACCTATAATGGTTTACTTTTACAAATTGTGACTTGAATGGAGAGTTTCTCATTGGCACTCATTTCACATCTTCTTATACCTATATAAACAAGGTGTGGTTTTTCTATTTTGTGTTTTATACATATAGACAAGACTTATCACAACAACTTGTCATTTCTATGTGGTTTTTTTTTATCTTTACGAAATAGTTGTGCATTTTGCAAATGAAATCGATGACATGAAAAGAGACTCGAGTTTTGGGTTCAAACAATTTGTGCACATAAGGGTAAAGAGTTGGATTAAATACGCAGAAAATGACACAGAAAACACAAGATGTAAAAAAAAACTCCTGTTACATGAAATTTCAGTTACCCAAAAAATTCACTAACGTTGAAAAATAGTCCGTTACATTGAGATAACCTACATCATTGACTTCTCCAAGGGCTGATCTTTAAAAAAAAAGGTTCATAAAATTGCAAACAAAATTAATTCCCATAGTGATCTTTTTTTTATTTCTGTTGAAAAGGTAACAAAAATACGGAATCCTTTCCGATTTTGGTCCTGTTTTAAGTGATTTTTAGTCATTACGACGTTTTCAATGTCACCCAATAAACAATATCTTCATGTAACGTTTTTCTCATTTATTCAAATAAAAATGTAATTATGTAAATAAAGGCAACAGTAGTATACCGCTATTCGAAATTCATAAATCGATTGAGAAGAAAAAAAAATCCCGGTTACAAACTAAAACTGAGGGAAACACATCAAATATAAGAGAACCACAACACTAAAATGCAACACACACAGAAACGAACTATTATATAACAATGGCCATTTTCCTGACTTGGTACAGGACATTTTAAGAAGAAATGGTGGGTTGAACCTGGTTTTGTGGCTAGCCAAACCTCCCGCTTTTATAGCAATGTTAAATATAACATTAAAATGACAACATTACATGACAGGACTACAATACAAATAAATGGGAGAACATACAGGACAGAGAACCACACAAATAATAGCTATCAAAAAGTACCAGGCTTATAATTTAATACGCCAGACGCGCGTTTCGTCTACATAAGACTCATCAGTGACGCTCAGATCAAAAAAGTTCGAGAGCCAAAACAAGTACAAAGTTGAAGAGCATTGAGGTTCAAAAGTTCCAATAAGTTGTGCCAAATACAGCTACGGTTATCTGCCTGGGATAAAAAAAATTCCTTAGTATTAAGAATAATTCATACTTTTGCAAACAGTAAATTTATAAAAATGACTATATAATAGATATTAATGTTAACACCGAAGTGATGAATAACTATAGAATAAAAACGAATACGTAAAACAACCTAAACCAGCACATAAAAAAGGCACAGCCGAATTAGCCGAAAAAATTGACGCACAAAGTGACGTCACATTTGAATTTCTAAAAATTTCCAAAAAAAAAAGGATAGAAATCAAGATAAGGTTTGTAATACTGATATAACACGTATTAATAACAATGAAAATTACAATACTTATTTATATAAAATTGTGGTAGTAATTAGATAATTAATTGTATTATCTAGCTGTGTCGGTATTTCTTCTAAATCAAACTGTAAACCAAATACATCGTATAAATTTAGTTGACCCAAACTAAAATCTTATAAATGAACTGTAAACCTCTTAAAGACCGGAATACAAAGCCTGCTAATCAATCCTCAGGTGACAGATTCCAAATCAGGTACTTAATCTGCCTGATCGAAACATATTTTGTTTGCTAAAAAGTTGTATATTAAGTAAGCTCTTAACTTATTTTGAAATGATACATAATTTGTTTTATTGTTTTTTAAATCCAAATATACTTCCGGTAAACACAAAAACAACAAACATAAAGGAAACCACAATTTATAGTTTTTGCACTCAAAACTTATTTCCATTATTATTGTTTTCATGGAAATATATATTCAGTCCACGCTGCGCGAAATAGTAAAGTATCTTCAGATCATTGAAGAACTACCGAAAACCAAAGCAAGAGAAGATATAATAATCTTATATATTGTCAATAAGATATTTAAAAATAAATATATATGTTTTTACTAAGTTTTTCAAATAAGATTTTACAAGTATGATATTAGGTGACAATTTGACCATGAGAAATTAATTGCCTACTTATATCTATTATACACACATAAAATAACCATCTTCAAAACATTTTACAGCAACTGATGTATAACACTCCCACCTTAGAAAAAATATTCTATATTTTTTTCTTCTTTTTTTACTACAACAAATCAACTTCTGATATTCGTTCTTCTTTTTGTGTAAAGGCATGTTCATCTACAAAACAGGAAAACATTTGAATTATCTTAATCATTTTAAATATATATTCATATTCATCATTGCATGTACAAATAAAGCTTTATCTAATAATTGTTTAAAACAATGTATGATTTTGTTCGCCTGAATAGCTTTCTGGATTCACCATCACCAGGAACGCCCAAACTTTGAAATGTGAAATCCATGGATGTTATCGAGATTGGAGATGTAACACCAAAAGAGACAAGAAAGGAATCATAGCCAATTGGTCTACGGCTAACTTCGCATAATTCTGTTATATTGTTCTGAAATGTGGAAAAACAGATCTTGTTTATAACATGAGAACTTAAAATAATCAATTACTTTTACTATTGACATGATGGTTTTATTTGACATTTGAATATTTTTCGATATTTGAATTCCTCGATTAGTTATTCTTTTTATTACATTGGCAAATGTTTTTTTTATGAAATTAAAATATAAAATTGTAACTTAAATTAAAACTATATCTTTTTTTTTACGCATGAATAATTCGTTTTGATCCGACGTTATCGACGTCTTGACAACGCGTATTATTTTATGACGTCAGAGGAGTGAAATAACCACGTTTATTTCACATGTGAAATTATCGATTTTTTATTTCACTGGGAAATTAATGTAATTCATTGCTTGCAACCAATGTAGTAGCATTGAAAAACATAAATAAATTGCTGGCATAAATATAAACAACCATTTGAACGTTTAAAAATATTAAAGTATTTGAAAGGTAACAGTAGTTTTTCATTCTTATAGACATTACTTTATATTGACTTACTTATTATGTCTTCCCTATTTTGCCAATTATCTATGCTATCATCAAATTGCGAATAAGATAATGATTTGATTGTCGAAGTGTATTTTGTTTATAAATCTATAACAAATGTAAGCTCGGTCAGGTTTGTAAATGAACGGTGAGCTCTATTCACTTTCACTGTACTAAATGTAATATGTTTGACAGCATGTAACCGATTTCCTTTTTGCATATATATATAACCCTTTTTTTAAAGATTTTGTGCCTCTGTCGGATCGACTAACTACTGATATTTGTAAACCATGATACACAGTAGTCTTTATAATTAGATGTATCCTAAAATAAACAAATAAACTCAAACGTATCTGTTGCTGGCAGTCAAACAATAAGACCGCAAAAAGTTCGAAAGGACTGAAACCTTAAGATTTATGTAAAACTCTTCCAAACAGCAAATAGATGCAAACAAAAAGCTTTATCATATTTTCCAATGCCTTATGAAACTTTCTAAAGCACCATGACATTTTTGGATTGTATGCTCTCAAAAAATATTGATATACACATCAGATAAATCATTCATAGAAAAATCCTATTTTAGATTTACACTTATATTCTAATAAATAATTACTTAGGATGTGCACTTAATGTTAACAAGTTATCCTTATAGAAGATTTATATTCAACTTGTTGAAAGGAGGTATAACAATTGAAAATCAGATATTAAGTCACACATTATAGTTATGTTTCAGGTGCTTTATTTATTAATGGTTCTCCACAGACATTAAGGTTTGTTTAAAATGTACAATGAAATCTGTCGTAGAGTTGCCACTAGTTCAGACGTTCTTATATATAAATATATATATAGAAATTTCAACTAAGTTTGGTTGTTTTTGTAAAATTCGAATTCTCTCAATTTTATATATTTATTTGCAATCCAATTATTCGTTTAAGTGCTGTTTTAACCATTTTAACATTAAAACACTACATCAACGGTCGATCTGTAATGAATAACGGCAACAGTAGTATACCGGTGTTCAATATGAACATCTATGATAACGACATTTCTGAGTCTAAGATAACTTGTCACCTGATTTTATGTTGTACTTATGTTGCTCATTCTTCACAATGTCTTAAGTTTTCTATGTTATATTTTAGTATGTTTGTCTGTTTGTTATCCGTATGATGGCGTTTCCAGTATGTAATCGTCTCATGAGTTTGAATATTATGTTGGTAGTTTCCTCGTTTCTTTCTTACTCTCTCAAGGATCTTGGTTACGGTTAAATTAATAAAGCAGTTGTCAGATATGTTACATTAAATCTTCTGTATAGTTGTTTGAATCAAGAAACTTGCAATAACAATTTCTAAACTTTTTAATTAAAAAAATATACACGTTCTCAGGTTGTTTTTTTTGGTTTGTTTTTTTATTTTTGTTTTGCGCATTTTACAACCAACCCGACAAATAATATGAATACAGATTTTTTTCTATCATTTTCGAATAGTATGTATGTGTGCTTCATTTAGTTTTCTACTTCGTGCATATGAACACAACTCATTCTAGTTATCTTACTCAAAGATGGATCTAATTTAATATCAACATTATTGCTGCAAACATAACATGTATCCAACTATTGTCTTGTAAGATCATTTGTATACAAATAATCTATCTCTTCTTAAATTGTGAAACAGTTTTATGCATTGTTTCTTTTAATTTGCCATTTTTTTTATCGATGAAAAACGGTTTGATATTTAATCCTCTACGTTCTCTTTTTTCCTCTCAGAATATAAATAGTAGCATTTATTTATATATTTTGCCTTGTTTCATGTTTCAGATCATCTTGTTGGCCGTCTCGAAAGGTTGGACAAGATCCAAATGCACAATGGCATGATTCTGATACTAAAGGAAGGTAAATTATCATCAAAAGTACTTTTTATCTGAATGAGTAATCCATCATTTTAAACGTTTGATTACGAAGATGTATTTTGATTTCCAGAAGAACTATCTAGTATTGAAACGTTATGAAATCCAAAGATTACTGATACAAGAAATGTAGGACCTACACGTATTCGCATCTTAAATGACCTCTACAATAGTTAAACTATATTCAAAAATACATTGACATAGCAGCAGAGACTGAGGTTATTAATCCCCTTTATGTCCAACCACAGTCGTAGTATGCGGGAAGAAGAACAGTTGTACTATTTCTGCATGCATCTGCCAGTCATGTATTGTGTATTTTCATATCACCTCTATACTCTATATCCAATACAGTAGGGGAGAAGTTATTTGGGCTTAGTGGCGTTTAATTTTCTCCCTTACTGTAAGGTATAAAAAATGGGCTTACGAAAGAGAAATGACTTCGAATGGTCAATAACAAATCCAAAAAGTATACATGTGCTTTTTTAAACTTCTACAAAAATGATTCTTGTTTAACCTATGGTGATAACGCAATTTAGCCAAACAAAACTCTGCAACAACATTTTTAGAAAATCTATGTAAGCGTCAAGTACGATAAAAGATCATGATATATGCACCAACAGTCGTATCAACTTGAACGTTTCAACAGATTGTCATATGAAGATATGCATGCCAATAACAAGTTCTTCGCCTATTGATGTCCTTTGAAATTTACGTTATATTTCTGTACATACTTACCAGCGTTTCTCAAAGCTTTGAACGTGGGGTTCTATAGTGTACATAGTTTATGCATACTGCTTAGACTTTGGTAGATGTTGAAACATATCTTAAATTTTATTGTTTCAATCTAAAACAAGTAAAACTAAGAGTCTTAAAACTGTATATTTGCATCCAGCCTTTATTAATAAGGATATGAAGAAACAAATTTGATGTATAAGTCAAGGTCACAATGCTTAAGTCGTTAGTAACTTAGCACTTATTAATCTTTCAAACGTTTTCATTATTACTAAGCAAGAGATGCATCCTGCATCAACTTAGTAACTATTTCAATGGCCATTTATTGTTTGATATTACAATTGATAAAGTTTTTATCCCATATCTTAAAACTGACAACTAAAATATGACACTGGATTGAACAATTATGTAAATTGAAATAAGGGGTTATGCATTAAGCGTATATGCAATTTGATAACAAACCAATGACAAATAAGACACATATAAGATATGGTCCTCAATGATGATACTGTGTGTACAATATCTAAATCAGACCATTATTTTACATGAACAACATCATTAATAGGTACTACTTAGATTATCGGAAGATTGATTCAAGAAAATTAGTTTCATTTTTATTTAAAAACCTCGCCATGAATACAGGTTAATACCTACTTAAAAAGTATGTATACGTGACGTTTAATTTTAAAACAGTTGGAGAACAAATTGATTAAAAAAAACAATATTTAAAACCACAAAATTCAACCAATTGCACCATGTCTACAACTTGGGGTTGAAAATCCTTAGAGTTTGGAACATGCAGCACTTAATAAACAGTTTATTCATATAAATAGATCTTAACGTTTCTGATAATGTAAAAAATTCTTAAAATATAGTATCCACAGTTTCTTATTCAGATCAGCAAAAGCCAAGGCTCAACATTCGGACGAGATTGTAATGAGTTATGTTGAAAAAATAAAACAAACATTTTGTGATGGTCAGTCTATTTGTGAGAACCTTGACTATGAGAACTTATTGCTACATCAATGTCCATATAGTCTCATTGAAAAAGAAGCGTTAGATGGTCTTAAATCTACCATGTCGAAAGAAAGTCAAAGACCAAATGAGAATGAAGCACAAAATGATAATCAAGGTAATATCAGAAACTGCAAAAAACAAGTCATACAAGCATTTTAAGTCTACCCTAAAGTGTCATTTGTTAAGTCTACATGATTATTCAATAGTCCTTATTCCAACTTCCATAATAATTGCATATTTACAAGATTCAAACGTGAAGTATTCACAACTATAATATAATGGTGTGGACGTTTTAGACATATTGTTCTCGGTTTGTGGATAATTCCATTCGACCAAAAGTGCAGACAAACAATTAATGTTAACTTGTAGATAGATAGATCTTTATTCTCATTAACTTAATAACATAGTTACAGAGATGAAAATATATACAATACAACATATTTTGCATGAGTGAAATATAGATAAATAAATATACTTTAAACAGGAGGACAGACTTTCACTGATATATATAATTTATAAATCTACACAATTTTTCTAGCTAGACAATATTGACTGTAGTGAATACATTTTTTTTATATTTAAGAATGTTAACATTTGTACAACAATAGTGTGGTAAATATTTATATCGACATATATATACATATACATATTATAAGACATTACATAATTGAAATCATCTCCGATTTCAGCAGATTCACAAAGGTGACAGAGATTCTCGGGTCTTTGAACATTTTGCCACCTCCCTGTCTCCACTGCCAATCGATGATTGTCACATCTAAATTTACATAGTTTCAGTTTTTAGCCGGAGCACGTGATATCACCCCAAGATTTTTGTAGGGTTCGTTTTGCTAAGTCTTTAATTTTCTATGTTGTGTCTTGTGTACTTTTATTTGCCTGTTTGTTTTTTTCTTTTTTAGCTAAAGCGTTGTCAGTTACTTTTCGATCTATGAGTTTGAATGTCCCTTTGGTATCTTTCGCTCCTCCTTTAGATAACGAATTTACAATTTTCTGGCGTGTTTGCCTATTATTCTGGAACCATAATAGATAAAGGAAACTTAAGTCAGCAAACATGACCCACAAGGCAAGATCTACAAATAAGTTGATACTGCTGAAATAGATGACTAACTTTTTTATAGATAAGTGCCATTAGTGACAATTTTTACCATTTTCACGATTGTTTTATATCTTGGACACTTTTATAGGCAGATATTGCATTTAAATGACGATTTGTACCCTTATAGGGGTGTTATGCACAAACTATAGTTAACAGGGAAAAAAGAGATTGTGAGCATGAATTATATTTTAGTCTACAATCTTATGAATGTTCAATGATGCAGCTGCACGAAGACTAAGATGAGCAAAGATATGGAACGCATCAGCTGTCTTATGTGGTATCTGATACTACGTTATGTGGTTTATCTATTACGTGATGATATTTTGTCTTTAAATAATATGGTTTTGACATTACTTGTACTTAACGATGTTTTGATATTGCTTAATATGAATTTTGCATCACTGAATATGGTTTTGTCATTGCTCGATGTGGTTTTACCATTATTCAATGTGGTTTCACCATCATTCAATGTGGTTTTAACATTAGTTGATATGTATTTGGGTTAACGTAATGTAGTTGTTTTGCATGGTGTGGTTTTGTTATCTTCTGATTTTTTTATTATTGTGATTAGTTGATTCTTTACATAACTTTTACATTATATAACGATGTTTCAAAATTTGACTATTTTACTCTACATGATGTGTTCTTTCTAGTATTTGGCTTGTTTCTTTTGTTCTTTGTTGTGATTATCACATTACTTGATTAAGGTAAAACCAAGTGACTTTTTTTCGAAAACAATAGTTCTATTTTTCAACCGTGTGTCATTTGTTTAATGTGCTTCGGATGAGTGTCGCTACCCATTGGGTTAGAGTTCAAATTAAAGATCTAGTTGTTGTTAAGACAAAAATAAGAAAAAAGTACAACAAAATTACAATATTTTGGACATAAGGGGGATATTCTCCACCCAATTGGTTCGGCCGTTTTTATAGCTGTCAAATCGACACAGTATTGAAATAAATTCTTGAAGGATTCCATGAAACCCTGTTATCGCTTGATATTTCCGCTGTTGGTGTAAAAGTGCAATGCTAACTTTGAAAGTGCATTTATCGGTGCTTTGCTGTACATGCGTTATCTTGATTTTGAAGATTAAGTGTTATAACAATCTATGACAGTTTTCAAATTTTTAATGAAAAAAACATAAAAATTCGGTAATATTTACTGCAACAGAAATACATAAAAAAAAAATACAGGAGATATGGTATTTTTGCCACCGGGACAGCTCTCCACCACATACCAAATGTCGTGGAAGTTAACAATCAATACCGCAAAGTAAACTATGCAAGGTTACGAGATGACATATGTAAAGCAATTCAAACGAGAAACTTAACTATCTAGATGACGAAGACGCCGACGCCACAAGGACGACGAAATGTATGTTTGATGTGTCTTATTTGCACACATTAACATTCATTGGAGGCTCTACACGAAACAAATGACCTCTACTTTATTGTTAACAAATGAGACATTTTAGATCAATTCACACTAAGGTTACAGGAAAACGGAGGAATCGGATTAAGCGACACAGCATCAATTCTATGAAATAGGAATTCTCCGATTATTTAAGCGTGTATGGTCATTTAAACATATACAAATATCAATTTTTTATCTGATATATATAAGACTTATTTAAAACAAAATAATTGTATAATATACGGTTCTAAGGTGAGGACGGATATGTTTCAATTGTTGTAACCATAAACGCGTTCTCATTTGCGCGGATGTGGTTCATAGATATACCATATCACTGGATTTGTATTTACACGAAAAACATGACGGGTGCCACACGTTGAGCAGGATTTGCCTAGCCTTACGTATTGCCTAGTCATACCGAACTATTCAGTGAAGCTAATTGCAACTGATTTTTACAGGTTTACAGTTGATTTTTATGGCTGTTTTATACAGTTGATGAGTTTCCCCCGGTTCTAGTTTGTAACCCGGATTTGTTTTCTTTCACTCAATTTATGACTTTTGAACACGGGCATACTACCATTGCCTTTATCAACTAGTGTCCAATGTCAGAGTTATGGTTTGGGATCACAGACGTGTTAAGCTCCGACACATTCTGTATGTGCCTATCCAAAGTCAGGAACCTGTTGTTTAATAATTGTCGTTGGTTAATGTGTGTCATATTTGTTTTCATAAATCTTTTATTTAGTTTTCTCGTTTGAATTGTTTCACATTTTCATGTGGTGGCCTTTAATGGCGACTATTCAGTGTGTTGAAGAACGAACGGTTGCCTGTAATTGCTTACATCCGCTGAATATAAACTATGGTTGACAGTTGTCTCATTGGCCTTCAAAAAACATCTCTAGACTTTATTTATATTTCTATATTGCGTTTTGTATACTGTAATAGTGTTTATCTTTTGTACGCATGTACCTAAAGCCTCTTTTATGAAGCCCTATCAAAATCCCTTGCTCCATGATCGAATGTTTAAATACGAACTCATATTAGATAACTCTCATTTCAACTCGAAGTCTTTATTTAAATGACACTCAAATTCAAAGTGTAACACGAATACTACCTCAAAAGGTGACTCAAAGTCAATATCGACGTCGAATTGTAACTAGAACTGTTACTTGAAATGTGACTCAAACTCGAAGTTCAACTCGAAACTCAATGATTACTCAAATTATGATTATGATTATGACTCTTAATCGAACACTTACTTTGAATTTAACTCGAATAGTAACCCGAACTTTAGTTTAGACTTTAACTCAATAGATGACCATACAATCATCCGTGGCACATAAAGCAAACGATATGGAAATCGGTTTTAAAAAATAGAATTAGCTTTTCTGAAATGGGCACGTGGTTTTACTTTATCAATTAATACATTAACTATATCAAAGAATGACAGGACCACATCAATTACTGGGGCAAACACATTATGTACAGTACAATCGTCAAACTTTGAAACATCATTGGGTATTGTTCAATCTTAATAAAGAATTGGCAAATTATCATTACGAAATAACAAAACCACATGATGCAATGACACAACCACATCACGTTACCCCACATACACATCAAGTAATGTTAAAACTACATTGCCTGATGATACATTCACAACCAATAATGGTGCAACAACACCGAGTTATGACAAAACCGTATTAAGCAATAACAAAACTATATCAAGTCAATACTAAACCATATCATGTAATATCAATGCATCATTACGTTATGTTAAAACCATATTATGGAAAGTAGTAATAAACCACATAGAATAATGTCAGAGTACAACATTAGACAGCTGTGGTGTTCTATAGAAACGCCTACTACTGTTCCAATTAAATATTTAATCTGTTTCAATCTAATGATAAAAGAGGAATTTTCCCGATAATAACAATAGAACTTTGGTATTGTTTGTTTTGCTTTCATTGAAAGTTAATTATTTGAATCATTTAATATAATTCACTTTCATTAATCATTTTATAAAATTTACTTTTTTGAATCAATTTATATTATGTGGATGTTTTAACTAACTTCCTTTTTAGAGCATGTTGCTATTAACTGCTTAGGAGGTTTTGCGGGTGCAATGGTAAATGCTAGAAATGAATTTAAAAACAACCCATCTTTATCTTCAAATGATCAAGTGAAGAAAGACGGTAAGCAGTAAAGACCTGATATAAGTTATATTAAAACAAAAGGATTACAACCACTAGTTTATAGCCATATTACTTTATTTGTTAAATTGTGCAATTTCAAGCATTCATAGATATATGAATAGGGATGTTTTTTTAAATTCCTGCAGCACGCCAGAAGTGACCCCCCCCCCCTCCTCCCGTGCCTTAAACAGGCCTAATTTATTATAAGATCGCTGCCAGTTTTGAGTCCCCTTTCTATTCAGGGATGGGTCCAGAAATTTTGAACAAAAGAAATGGGGGGGGGGGGGGGCTATTAACTGAACGTTTATACTAAAATCTGCGCGAAATGAACAAAAGTTTCCATTTCAACAGTCTTGAAATTGTTTTACATGTGTCATTTCGGAGCCTTTTATAGCTGAATATGTGATATGGGCTTTGCTCATTCTTGAAGGCCGTACGGTGACCTATAGTTGGTCATTTGGTCTCTTCTTGAGAGTTGTCTCATTGGTAATCAAACCACATCTTTTTTTATAATTAATCACTCCTCTGACACGCGCGTTTCGCCCGACAATTATTGCCATATCTCATAACCCCCTTTAAAGTAGCCTCTTCTCTCATTCCTATATTTTTGGACATTCCTAGTTCCTGGAGTTTGCTTTATTTTAAAATAGTTCGTGTTTCTCCATTTCCAAATTTCCTGAAGCTTGTTCCCCCTTCCAATTTTATGATATACTAGTAGTATGTAGCTATTTACATTAGAACTATTAATCATATATGCACAAAAAGAAATGTCATAAGATGTTGGAATTTTTTTCGTGATTAATTCATCACCATATTTTCATCATATGCTTTCAGGTAGTCGTGTCAATATCAATCAAACACTATCCAGTTACGATTATCTTCTCATTTTTTACTACCGGAATTACTATCCTTTTTTCGAATTACGATTATCATCCCGAATTTTTCGACGGCAATTTTCTAAGCGCTTAGACAATTACAGTGCACCGTTACGATTCAAATATGACGGTAATGGTATAGAACACCCTTGCAGCTGAGTAACTCTTGACAACAACAAGCTACATTTGAGAAAAATGACTGAAAAGATTTTACCTATTTTTGCCGTCGCCATACTGGGATCGTCGTAATTCCAGTTACGATTATCAGTTTAACACCAGTGAATCTCATGAGTGTCCATTGATGCAGATATTCGAAGACTTAGATAAGCGAATCATATTGAACGCCACAGATGTCTTAAGTGGGATCTGATATTTCTTTATGTAATTTGATTATTACTAGATGATATTTTGTCCTTATTATGATATGGTTTTGACATTACATGTACTTAACGATGTTTTGTAATTACTTAATATAAAATTTGCATCACTAAAAATGGTTTTGTCACTACTTGATTTGGTTCCACTATTATTCAATGTAGTTTCACCATCATTCAATGTGTAAACAATTGATGTGTAAGTGGGTTCAACTAATGCAGTTGTTTAAATGGTATGGTTTTGCTATCTTATAATTTTTTTATTAATAATGAGATTGGTTGATTCTTTTTAAAATTTAACATTTAACATGTTTAATAACGATGTTTCAAAATTTAACTCTACATGATGTGTTCGTTCCAGTATTTGGTGTGCTCCTCCTGGAATTCTTTGATGTGGTTAGCACATAACTTGATGAAGTAACACCACGTGACCATTTTCGAAAACAAAAGTTCTATTTTTCAACCGATTTTCAAATGTTATTTTTCTAATGTGCCTCGAATTAGTTTAGCGATCCATTGAGTTATAGTTCAAATTTAAGTTTAAGTTGTTGTTTAGACAACAATAAGACAAAAATACTAAACAAATAACAATATTTCGGACACAAGTGGGATATTTCCTAACCATGTGTCTCGGCCATTTTTTTTTTTCCATAGCTCTCAAATGGACACAGTATTATGATAAAGTCGTGAAGGATTCCACGAAACCCTGTTTATCGTTTGACATTGCTATTGTCAGTGTAAAAGTGTATTTATCGGTAAAAAAAAGAATTTGCTTTACTGTAGATGCTTTATCTTGATCTTAAGTTTCATGACAAACTATGACGGTTTTCAAATGTTTAATGACACAACAGTATCATTTGGTAATATCTACAGAAAAAGAAATACTAGTACATACAAATAAGGAGATATGGTATGATTGCCAACAGGACAACTCTTCACCACATACCAAATTTCGTAGAAGTTAACAACTTCACTGAATGGTCTTCAACAGTGAGCAAACCATACCGCAAAGTGTAAGCTATACAAAGTTCCGAGATAAAAGAGGGGAGATAACAATTGTAAAACAATTCAAACGAGAAACTTAACTATCTAAATGATGAAGACGCTGACGCCACTAGCGACGACGGAATATATGTTTGATGTCTCTCATTTGCGCCACATTAAGGTTGCAGATTCTACATAAATCAATGACCTGTACTTTATTGTTAACAAATGAGACACTTTTAATCAATCCTCACTAAGGTTACAGGGAAACGAGGGGATCGGATTAAGCGACAAAGCATCAATTCTTTATAAAAAAAAAGGAATCTCCGATTTTGTTTTACCGTGTATGATCATTTGAACATATACAAATATCAATCTTTTATTTCTTTTATTTGCTTTTTCTGATATACATAAGACTTAATTCAAACAAAATAATTTTGAAATATCTGTTTCTAAGGTGATGACAGATATGTTTCAATTGTCGTAACCATAAGCCCGTTCTCTTTTGCTCGGATGTGACTCACCGAATTAGACCATATCACGGAATATGTACTTACAAGAATCATATGACGGGTGCCACACGTTGAACTGGATTTGCCTACCCTTCCGTATTGCCCATTCATTCTGACCTATTCAGTGAAACCAATTGAAACTGATTGTTTATGTTTTACAGTTTTTCAGTTGATGTGTTACCTCGGTTCTCTCAATCGATTTATGACTTTTGAACACCGGTATACTACTGTTGCTTTTATTTATTACTGTCCAAGGTTATGGTTCTGGTTGAGGATCACATACGTGTTAAACTCTGACATATTCTTTATGTGCCAAAGACACCTATAAAAGAACGTACGGTTGCCTATGATTGCTTACATCCACTACATGTAAACTATGGTGGATATTTGTCTCATAGGCTTTCAAAACACATCTCCAGACTTTATTTATATTTTGAGTAACTCGAGTAGTAATTCGAACTTTAATTAAGACTTTAACTCGATTGATGTCCACATACTCATCCGTGGCACATAAAGCAAACGATATTGAAATCGGTTTAAAAAAAATAGAACTAGTTTTTTTTTCTGAAATGGGCACGTTGTTTAACCTTATCAATTAATAGATTTACCATATCAAAGAATGACAAAACTACACTCATTACTGAAACGAACACATTATATACTGTGTCAATCTTTAAACCATAATTGAGTATTGTTATATCTTAATAAAGAATTGGTAAATTATCATTACGAAATAACTAAACCACATCATACAATGAAACAACTACATCACGTTACTCCACATACACATCAAGTAATGTTAAAACTACATTGCCTGATGACACATTCACAATAAATACCGATTTATGGCAAAACAATATTAAGTAACAACAAAACTATATCAAGTCAATACGAAACCATATCATATCACATCAAAACATCATTATGTAATGTCGAAACCATATAATGTGAAGACAAAATATCATCAAGTAGTAATAAAACCACATAGCTTAATTTGTTTATCTTTCGCCCCTCAATTTTAATGTCAGAGTACCATACAAGACAGCTGTAGCGTTCCATAGAAACAGCTTCAACTGTTCAAATTATTAATTTAATATGTTTCTAATGATAGAAGAGGAAAGTGTCCCTAATCATGCTAATAATACCAAAAGAACTTTGGTATTGTATGTTTTGGTTTCATTTAATTTTTAATATTTGTGATGCATCATTGATATATAATTTACTTCCATGAATCATTTTATATTATTTACTTTCATGAAGCATTTTATAGTATGTGGATGTTTTGACTAAGTTCTCTTTTAGATGTGACTACCAGCTCAGAAGGGTTTGCGGATAACCATGTCCCGATTCATTCTAGGAAAATAAGACAGACACCGTTTCAGTTTAGGTATTTAAATATGGATATTGTTTGATATTTAAATTTGCAATAATGACATATTTATTTCTTTAAGATAATTAAGCCTTTAAATTAAATCCTACTAAAATCTGCAAACATCAATTTATTATTTTTATATTGAAATACAGAAATAACTTGTTTTTCTGTTCAGTTTTCTGTAAACTAAACTACGTAAATTGAAGTTATTTATTAAAGTATGTGCGTTAGAACTGCATACAGCTAATGATCGGTCAAACTTTTGACGCTTGGGGTTTTCGCTGTCCTAATGGAGGTATCTCCAGGTTTATTAAATTTATAAAACGCTAATTTCATTGATTTTCAGGTCTACATTGAAAACATATTTTATAAACTTTACGAGTAACAGTCAAGTAATCGTAAAAGAGGGGCGAAAGATACCAGAGGGACATTCAAACTCATAGATCGAAAATAAACTGACAACGCCATGGCTAAAAAATAAAAAGACAGACACACAAAAGTACACAAGACACAACATAGAAAACTAAAGACTAAGCAACACGAACCCCTACAAAATATGGGGGTGATCTCGGGTGCTCCGGAAGGGTAAGCAGATCCTGCTCCACATATGGCACCCGTCATGTTGCTCATGTTATAACAAACCCGGTAGATAGTCTAATTCAGTAGGTCACATTCATTGAAAGAACACGGTATTGTAGTTACGACATAAGGAACATATCCGATATCATCTGTGAAACGGATATTCCGTAACGGTCAACCAACTCGTGATGGCGTCCGTAAAATTTACGATTCAACTTCACCATTTGGAACTCTTGGTTTAATAGCTTCCTTGTGAGCAGCAACCCTCTATCAAGGAAATCATAATAGGAAATACAAGCCCCGGAATATCGTATGCAGGCACTGTTGGAATGTTGCTACATAGAAATGGAAAGTTCACAATTGGGAAGCTGAAATCAACTCTTTTGTCGTAAAGTTTTGTTTTCAACCGACCAAGAAGTTTTTGTATGAAGTCAGCCTCATAAGTTAAGGAACAAATCTGCAAGAAGAGGGACACAGTTGGTTCTCATGATTGTTTGTTGAAAACACGTCCTCAAAAAAGTAACAAATATGTTGTCAATCAAGAAATCAAGCATCTTGATAATTTCAATTCAGAGAATTTTTTGTTTGAATAAGAGTAATATTTTACAACGTAGGATTTATCCCTCCCTAGGACAAGATACTTGTATCTACGTTGGCCATTCTCTTTTATGAAACAAAGCAATACCAACTCTTTCAGTTTCTCTTTTAATTTGGAATGGGGAATACTTGTGTAAAATGTAGAAAAGTCAAATGTTTTAAAACTATTGCAAGATGAAATAGTCTTAGATTATATGTAAAGATTTTTCGATTTTTTTAGTATCAACATCTGATTCACGCCACCTCTAGATTAGGCAGTTTCACAATAACTTTGTTTGAGAAACTAATAATTAACATTTTCTTATTCAGATCACAAACAACCAATGATCAACGTCCAAAATCAGACAACAATGAGATTACTATGTATTCAGCTGAAAACAACGAAATGCTTGATTTATTTAGTCAATTAGACAAGTTAAAGGAATTCATTACTTCATCACCTTCCACTTCTCAGTCTACTTACTCACAAAGATTGCCAACAAATTCTGCAAGTGTTCACAAGGGGAAAAACGATAAACCGGAAGGTTTAAATTTCTAAAAACAAAAAAGGAGTAAGAGAAGAAGGAGCAGCAGGATTAAAAGCGAAATATTGATTTTAAGGTTTATTGGACCTTTTCGCACTTATGTGTGTATATCTTTATTCTATTATAAAATAATGTTTGTGTTTTATATAATATTCATATGAACCTGTACAAGTGTGAATATTTAATAAGCTATCATGTCAATTCAAAATTAAATTGTGGTCATTGTAATAAAAACAAACTTTAAGATTTAAAAAGGTTATTGCATGAGAACACATGTAGAAAACGAGGAGGGCCCTATATTAGCTTTGGACTAACAAAAAGAGCAATAGATAGGACTGAGTCGGAATGAATCAATGTTTATTAAATCTTTGTTTAGGTGAAAATTAAGAAGTTGGGTTAAAATACTTTTCCAAAAGTTTGATACATGAATTTAAACGGATGGAATTTAAACAGATGGGGTTTTCTTCTAAATTTGTAAGTATAACTCGTTAAATTCGTCAATGATAACTCCTATGTTGTGTATACCAAAAAATGAAATTTTGTACAAAATCAGAATTGATTATAATTTTGGAGATTATAAATGCAGATATATATATATTTTTCGGTCTATAGATAAGGTGTTTCTTATAATACAACGGGTTATTTGGAAAAGCAAAAAACATCGCAAAACATCAAAATAAAACGATAAGAAACTTGTTGATGCTATGTGCGAAAAAATTAAATTAATTATTATTCCCAGATATTTTTTGAAATACAACCAATGAAGCCTTCTCTGTTATGACATGTATGATTAAGAGCGTTTGTAGATAATGAATATATTGCATAGTCAGGTAAATGTAATGGCCACATCATTTATGAATATTGTACTATAAAATATAATCAACACTTCCATATGATATTCTATTTTATTGTTTACTTAAACGATGTGTGAAATAAACTTATTACATAGTTATATTATATTAATAAGTGAATTTCAATGCATAGATATAAAGACGGTATATGATTATTTATTTGGGAAGTTTTATATTCTCTTTTTCATTTTCCCTGGCGACTGAGCTTCTGAAACGAAAATGGGTCTCTAAATTTTGTTCTTAAACTTTTACAGGATCGAGTATAATGGAAAGGGTCTTTAAACAGAAGAGACATTTTTTTTACTCTGATTAAGATGATGGAATGATATCCAGTGTTGCAATCGCAGTCCAACTTAGAGCATTCAATAGGCTATCTAACTAAATCTTCTAAATTTTAAAGTGAAAAGGGAATTAAACAATTGTGTAAATAACCAACCACTCGCATCAAATACACAAAATTACTATTCACGTTGTATCTTTTTGTCGGTGACGGAAATTTTAGAATAACATTAAGATAGAAGCTTTTTATATTTTTGATATATTATTTTATAGTTTTCTAATAACAACTGATAGAGTAAAATCATGTACAAATGTTACCTATATTGTCTAAGTTATGTCGCTTTGTATGTCTAAAACAACTTTTCAACAACGAAAACATATGATCAATTGAAAATCACACAATTTCAATTGTGTTGCCTAAGCAATTTCAACATATCTTTTCAAAACCACAATTGAAAATTAATGCTAGACACATCCTGTGACATGGGATGTTCTTCTTGTTTATTTTTATTTTTGGATTGAGACTCCATGACCAAGTAATCTAAGTTGTTCTTCAACTGTATCACTAGCTTGCTAACATTGGGTTTATGTGTTCGAAATCCGCATATGGCAGATCCATTCGACTTCAATCTTATTTAATTAGGATGGTCAGTTTTTCTGCCGAATGTCGGCGGTTAATCCGGACAGTAGGCTTTCTTCATCAATAATAACTGACAGCCAAGATAAAGCTTTTAGTCCTGAAAGTGACTTAAACTCCAATGATCATCTTATCAAATTTCTGTCGTCTGGGAGCAGTATAGAAAAACTTACAAAACACACGTTTCGCAATATAATAGTAGGATACAATTTTCTTTTTGCACAATTGGTTGTTAACAAATACCCTAAAAGGTACAACTATCCCAAATAGGTTTATCCCTGTGTGTGAATTATCAAATGAACCAGGGGATTCACAAGATAACTTATTATTAGTTTCAAAAGTGGTTAATAGAATATTACAATCGATATAGTTTACAAAATCTGCATAGCGACTAATCCGGAAACCATACGTTCTCTCTGTTTACGTTTTTCTACTTATTTTAATTGTATATCACGTGGTATAGATGTTTATTATGTATCTCGAACACGTGTATTTTATTCATTCTTGTGTGTTGGAATATTCTTAACTTATTTGGTAAGTTTTAAATTTAATGAAATAACTGTTTTGTTTTCTTTAACGATAACTTGTACACGCTACAGAATACTGAAAACTTGAAGCATTATGAGTATATATCAATCATTGATGACAAAAATTTCTGATGGTAAGTTAACATGATCAAAAACATGGATAAAGAATGAGTTTGTGTTGATACTTTGTATAAAGTATTGCCAATCGTTTCGTGTAAACAGAGAAACAGTATACATAAAACATAAATGAGAAACATAGTGTTACTCTACGAGTATAATGTCTTAACTTTCACATAAACAGAGACACACACATATACCTACACAAAAACATGGTCACAAAACTTGCACACTCACACTCCCTGTCACACAACTACTCAACCATGAGTACTTGCATAACTCTCCTATTGAATTACATTGCAGTTAATTAGATATCTTATATTGAATTACATTGCAGTTAATTAGATATCTTTCAAAAATTTACTACATTTTCTTTCTAAGAGTATACTATTTTCATACCATTCTAAGAATTCTAATTTAAAAACACTATATACATCTATGTACTTGTGTTTTAACTCTGATGCATAATTACTTTTGTAAACGGCAAATAAAACAATTGTTAACAACACATTAATATCAAAAAATGAACTGTCATGAATTTTGTATCCAAGTATTAAATTTTGCATTGATAAAATATGTGAACCTATTTTTATTTTATCAAGTAGTAACCCAACTTTAATCCAAAATTCTTGTAAAAATTCACACTCTTTAAAAAAATGATCATAATTTTCTACTTGGTGACATATATGACATTGATTATCCTTCATTATTTTCCATTGATAAAGCAGTTGCTTACATGGTAATATTTAATTGATCAATTTCCACCTGAACATTTTTATACGACCGCAAAAAAATTTTGTGGTCGTATATTGGTATGACGTTGGCGTCGTCGTCGTCGTCGTCCGGCGTCGTCGTCCGAATACACATTGGTTTTCGCACTCTAACTTTAGTTTAAGTAAATGGATCTTTTTGAAATTTGACCATAAGGTTAAATACCACAAAAGGAAGGTTGGGATTGATTTTGGGGGTTATGGTACCAACAGTTAAGGAATTAGGGGCCAAAAAGGGGCCAAAAATAAGCATTTTCTAGTTTCCAGACAATAACTGTGGAACGGTGTATGGATCGCTCTGAAATTATACTACAAGTTTCCATACCACAAAGGGATGGTTAGGATTTGCTTTGGGGGGTTATGGCTCAAACCGTTTAGGAATTAGGGGCAAAAAAGGGGGAAAAACAAGGTTGTCCTGGTTAATGGACAAATACTTTAGTACAAAACATAATTTAAAGTAGTGTAAGGGAGATAAATCAAATACATCATTGAAATTATCTCCCTTACACTGCTTTTAAATTATGTATAAAGTAATGGTTAATGAACAATAAAGATAATTTAAAACAGTGTAAGGGAGGTAATCAAAATACAACGTTTTGGTTACTTCCCTTACACTGCTTTTAAATTATGTTTAAAAATATGCATATTTATAAAGGAAGACCAGTAAAAATATCTGCAAATGTTGCATCTTTTTTTTTTTACAAAAAAATCCATATGAAAGATTTGACACTATATTTTTAATTCTATTATAAAATAGATTAAGTTAGCACTATGGTAAATTTAAATGGGTAATTATGGTTGCCAACTCCATTGGAAATTTGAATTGAGATTATGACCATATCTTGAGGGAAAGAATTTTTTGGGGGAAAAAAAAGGGGGGGGGGATAAAAAGAAATTGTGGGGGGTCAATTTTTTCTCATTTCAGATTTCAGAAATTAAAAAAATTATTCTTCAAATATTATTTTTTTTTCAAATTTCAAATATTGAAAAATTTCAAGAAGAAATCTTTAATTGCACAGTATGGCGCATTAAATTTGTAAAATCTTTGATCACATTTATTTATTTGTTATGCCGAATCCAACAGTGTATTTAGATTTTTAATTTTGGGTCCAGTTTTCAAATTGGTCTACATTAAGGTCCAAAGGGTCCAAAATTAAACTTTGTTTGATTTTAGCAAAAATTGAATATATGAGGTTCTTTGATATGCTGAATCTAAACATGTATTTAGATTTTTGATTTTTGGCCCAGTTTTCAAGTTGGTCCAAATTGGGGTCCAAAATTGAACTTTGTTTGATTTCAACAAAAATTGAATATATGGGATTCCTTGATATGCTGAATCTAACCATGTATTTAGATTTTTTATTTGTGGACCCCCGTTATCAAATTGGTTCATATTGAGGTCAAAAGGGTCCAAAATTAAACTTTGTTTGATTTCATCTAAAATTGAATTATTGGGGTTCTTTGATATTCCAAATCTAACCGTGTATTTAGATTTTTAATTTTGGGTCCTGTTTTTGAAATTGGTCTACATTAAGGTCCAAAGGGTCCAAAATTAAACTTAGTTTGATTTTAACAAAAATTGAATTCTTGGGGTTCTTTGATATGCTGAATCTAAACATGTGTTTAGATTTTTGATTATGGGCCCAGTTTTCAAGTTGGTCCAAGATAGGGTCCAGTATTTTAACTTTGTTTGATTTCAACAAAAATTGAATATATGGGGTTCTTTGATATCCTGAATCTAAACATGTATTTAGATTTTTGATTATGGGCCCAATTTTCAAGTTGGTCCAAATTGGGGTCCAAAATTAAACTTTGTTTGATTTCAACAAAAATTGAATATATGAGGTTCTTTGATATGCTGAATCTAACTATGTATTTAGATTTTTTATTTGTAGGCCC